GCAGGTGGCAAAGGTCAGGGGTGGGGAGGGAAGGCAGAAGAATGTTGACTTTCTCATGACTAACAGCAGGAGAATGAAATACACCATTTGCTGATAATCAGTGTTAAAAACACACCTAACTACAAAAGATCGGGGCCTCCCGAGGTCGTCAGCATTGCGACTGTGCTGGGGGCTGCGGGAAGGTGCCGTCACCCTTCTCTGGGGGCTGCTGTGGTGCTGGGGGCTGTACCACCAGTGTGCCCGAGGGCGGCCCCCTCTCAACAGGCCGCCTGGAGCTTCTCGACTATGGTGCCCACCTGCACAACACCACCTCTGGGAGGACTTTGTGCTTTACTTCTGAGACCCAGCGAGTGACCAGCACAGAAAAGAACTGATCAGCCAGCAGGTTGTCCGCTTGCTGTGGGCATGGTACCAGGAGAGTGTGTGGCCGGAGGAGGGCCTTACGCTAGGTGAAGCAGTGGGCATCAAGAGGGAGGTGTGCCGACACCGTAGCCATGACCCCCAGGGTGCTAGCTGGCACGTGGCCGAGGCAGGACTGTGTGCACCTGGGTCCATAAGCTCACCGTGACACGGAGGTGAGCAAACAGCAGCTTGCAACAGCGTAGAAACAGTGAAACAGGTTTACCATAAAGCTGAGTTCTAACAGGACAAAGCGATCCAGTGACAGCCCCAGTGGACTCTCGAGGAGTGTGTGGGGTAGGGCTGTTTCCGTCTGTTCTCGGAGTTGCTGTGAGTTGTCGTTGATTCGACAGCACAGAGTAACAAGGGTTATGACAGTGGACACTAGACCGAGCTCTGTGAGACCTCAGCCACGCGAGGATCACACACAGTACAGCCCGTGGGAGGCCCCTAGTGCTCCAGCCTCAGAGGCGACAAAGCGATCATGGAGGAAGCAGAAACACAGCTCTGTCCGGTGCCGGCCAGGCGGCTACAGCCCGGGCAGCAGCAGAGACCCACCCGTCCAGCCCCATCCCCACAGTCGTGGCTGAGATGTAGCAAACATTGCATCAAAAGCATAAATGGGCTAAACTCTCCCGTTAAAAGAAGACTGGCTGAAGGGGGGCGGCAAAACGGAACCAGCTGGAAATGACAGCGAGCGTTTAGGAAGGGGAGGCCCTGGACGCCAGAGAGTTCAGGCCCAGAGATGGTGGGTGCGGACAGGTGGTTTCCGGGCCTAGAGGTGCTGTTGTGCAGGTGGGCACGCGGGCCGTTGGTATGCGCAGGTGGGGTGTGCAGGCCGTCGGTACATGGAGGAACTGCGGAGGAGATGAATGAACCGTGGGAACTGTCAAGCAAATTGACATGTCAAAGAAAACAAGCCCACTGCTGCAGAATTGACTCCAACTCCATGGACTAAATACCATTGTGCTGTTAACCAGAGGTCAGGAGTCCAGGCGGGCAGGAAGCTGTGACAGTGTCCCTCCACCATTTCCAGCCTGGGAGGCCCACGGACAGCTCGCCTCTGGCCTGCAGGGCGCTGTGTCAGAGCCCTGGTTGTGTGCTTTCTATCACTGACCAGAGGCCTGCCCAGCAGGCAGGGGGCCCGCAATGGCAAAGGATCTCTGCTTCCGGGCTTTCATCCTGGAGCCTGATGCCAGAGTGCAGCGCCATGGAAACTCAGAAAAGGCAGTAGTAGGAGTTCTTTCGCAGAGAAGGCACCATGTGTGAAGTGAACAAAGCTGGAGCAAAAAAAATGAAGCTGCCTCCTGGCACCTGAGCATTTAAACAAGCAGCCAGCCGACTGAGAAATAAACCCATCTTCAGTAACCCCACTTAAAGAAGAAATTCAATTAAAAAGGACGTAAAATCCGGAAATGGCTCTTCCAGAAACACCCCCACAGGAAACAGTGAAAGTAGCGCTCAGAAGAAAACGTGCATTAAATATTTATATTCTTGAACAAGAAAGTATGAATAATATGGATTAAGCATCCAGTTCAAGGAGGCAGAGAAGAGAAGTGTTGTGTATGTGAAGTAGAAGGTAGGAATTTGTAAAGATCCAGGAAGAAGTTAATAAGAAAGTGAACAGTGGTAGAAATCATAAATAAGCCCAAATGGTGCACTCTGAAACAAAACGTGGAAAGTGAATGAATTATTCACAATTGTAGTTAAAGAGTGAACCCAGGAGTGCCCAGAGTAAAAAGCAAGTGTTCGTCGTTGGGTTATTGAGAAGGAGTGGGCCGGGGGACAGGCTGGCTTTTGTGCTGCGTGGCCTGGGTACGTTATCGCTGAGTGCTGGCCAGCTGATTATGTGTGCGGGCTCCTGGTCGGACTCAGCAGCCCTGTAGGACAGTGAACTGCCCACGGAGTTTCAAGGCTTGATGGAAGCAGGCCGCCCGTCTTCCTCACAAGGAGGGCTGCTGTATTCTTTTGGTTTGCTGCTGAGCGTTTAATCACTGCACCACCAGGGATCTGTCGGTAAACATCAAAGCCCAGAAGCCAGCCCCCTGCCATCAGGCTGATCAGGACGCACGGCGACCCCACAAGGCTCCCGGTGCTGTTTGTCCTGCAGAAGCCGACTGCCTCATCTTTGTCCCGGAGAGCCACTGCTGAATCCGAACCACTAACCTCCTGGCTAATAGGCAAGCATTGAACCACAGTGTCATCAGGATTTGCCTTTAGATTACTGCATGTCACCTACACCTCAATATTAAAACAAAAATTACACGCTGTATTTTAGAGAATTGGGAGACCATCTATCCCAGTTTTTCTTAAAACTTCATTCGAGCCTAAATGTCATCTGTCGGTACACAGTTGAGGAGAGAGAGACTCGTGACTGCGGGCTAAGTGAAGCTGGCCCCACGCTACCCTCCCTGACAGGGTCAGAACGGGCCTCTGGAGAGGACAATTCTAGCAGACCTCCAAGTGCAAATATTCTGGAAGGGGCATCTTGGTTCCCAAATGTGCACAGAGGCCCGAGGCTTCCGGCACATTCCCCGGAAGTGGACGTCACCCTGCAGGCTGCCTGTGGTTGCACCTCGTAGATAGGCTGTTGGGTAAGCTGCAGGTCTGAGTCCACCCTTCCTCAGATGAGTCTCTTAGCGTTTTCCTGAGAGCAGGCACCCACTTCTCATCTTAAGAGGCGAGGGTGGCGACGGTTGTGTCGCCTATGCTGGATATGTTGTCAAGAATGGTCAGTCCTTGGAGACGGATATCATGCTTGGAAAAGTGAAGGGTCAGTAAAGGACGGCAAGACTCGTGACGAGGTGGGCTGACCGAGTGACTAACAGTGGGTGCGCGTGCACAGTACTGAGTGTGAGCGTGGTGCGAGGTCGGAGGGGCTGTGGGAATGGACCTGTCCACCCCCAGCCTAGCCGGGAGCGTGCACAGACTCAGCAGCGGGCTGGGCGCACACGCTGCAGCCTCGAATCCAAGCAGCCTCTGCCCCAGTCCGTCCTGTGGGCTCGATCCCTTTCAGCAGATGTGCAGATGGATGCATGGCTGTCTCTGAGGCCCAGGCAAACACGAGATGGACGCACGTCCGTCCCACTCCCAGCGACTGCAGTCTTGTGCTGGAGACAGACCAGGTTGGACCTGTGGGGAGAACACAGAGCTGTGACCACAAGTAGCTTGAGGCCCGAGATGTTCTTTGGTCACGGAGGCTCTGAGAGTTCCTCCAGGTTCCTGGAGCCTGGAGGGTGTGAAGTGTTGGGAGACACAGGGTCTCTGGGAATGGTAGGGTCATGAGGGATGTGGAGTGTCGGGGACACAGGGTCTCTGGGAACTGTAGGGGGACATGGGGTCTCCAGAGTTCATAGGCTTTGGGGTAGTATAAATGTTTCTGGAGGTTCTAGAGGTCATGGCATTGCGAGGTTTGGTGTCTGGGGAGACACAAGGTGTCAGGTCTCAGGTGAAAGGGTGCTGTGCTGGGACAGAGACCTGTGGGGAGACCTTCCTGGCAGATGGAGGTGGAGCCGGTATGTGGCTGTAGCCAGGAGCTAGGCATGCGTGGCCGGGGGAAAGTGGGCCATGGCCCAGCACCCCTCGTTGGTGGGGTGTACCTTCGAGTCACAACTGCCCCATAGCTGACCCCAGCAGGTCTTCAGAGTCAATTACAAGAGGAGATTGCCCTTCCTTCCAGGGAGCAGCTAGTGGATTCTAAGCATGTATCTTTGCTTTGGCATTAGCATTAGTGGTAAGAAGCTGCGTTGCAATCCAAAGGCATGTGGTTCAAATCTCCCAGCTGCTCCGTGGGAGACGGGCAGGCATTCCCTTCCTCTGAGATTCGTAGCCTCTGAAAACTCTGGAGGATCAGCTGTGGGCTGGTTCTCATCGACAGCACAGGCCACCAGCTCTGCTCAGCAGGGACCCTTGTGTCTGTCAGGCGGCAGAGCCGCAGACCCCAGACACACACACACACACACACACACACACACACACACACACA